CTGCCGACGCACCTGCCTGGGAGCCTTGCACAGATGCAGCAAACAGCCCAAGTCCGGAGACTCAGTCCGTGCCTAACTGCAAAGGGCCCAGGCCCGAGACTACAAGCCTGGCCGCAGGATCTGCGACCCAACCGGAAGCTACTGGAAGCTAAGCCAGGCCACACGCAGCATCCAGGAGGCTACCACTTCCACAAAAGGAGTGAGGCAGCCCAGGCCAGGCATTCGGGCCAGTGCTGGCAATGCAGAAGTGCTGCTGCGCTCTCGCTTGATGCTGCGCTGCTTCCAAGGGCGCTGACGGGGCGCGTAGAGGTGAAGTGGGGCGCTGCAGGGCAGCGGGGCGCAGGCCGCCATAGCCGGGCTGCTGGGCGCCAGGGGGTAATGCAGGCGGTCGAGTGGTCTCCGGGGAAGGAGGCGAGTGTGGGGTCATCAAGGTCTGATCGAGGATGACGAGATATGTACCTGGTACATGAAGAGAGGTCGGAGACGCCAGGGGGTAATGCAGGCGGTCAAGTCTTCGGGGAAGGAGGCGAGTGTTGGGTCATCAAGGTCTGATTGAGGATGACGAGATATATACCTGGTATATGAAGAGAGGTCGGCGATGGTGTTGACAGTCATGCACATTGGTTTTCGAGAGTCGAAGTGAGCCTGTTGCGTTAACCAGCTGTAGGTAGTGTAGTCGGGTAGCGTAGGCTGGGCGCTGAGCACCAGACAGGAGAGGAGCAACTTTGGATAGTGTGTTGGTGTGGCCTACGGGCTTGAACATTGGCTCATTACTTCATTGTATTGCTCTATACGGATGGTTTCTTGGTGCATTTTGTACTCTCTGCTTGGATAAGACTACCTTGACATCTTTGTGATTTCACAACTTGGTGTTCTGTATATCATGCACACGGAGGATTCAGTCTCGTTTTGCATATTTCAAGAGTAGTGAGCGAGGACCATAATTAACATTACTGCTCAAGTGCCATTGGTGTTGCAAGCGACTCAGTTTGGCCATCGCCACACCACTCAATATGTGCAAAATGAGAACGAACTTCCAGCTAGAACATGGCCAGATGCACCCGCCACATTTTCGAGACTGGTGTGGCAAGGCCCTTTGCCTGGACATGCAGCAAGTCCGGCTCATTCCAATGTACCTACGACGGCCTGAAGACCTGTGCATTCTAGTACACAAGAAGTTTCTTCCTAGCTTATTGCGAATAGAATCAGATAAAATTGCAGACCCTGGGAGGCCTCACAGTAGCGTTCATTCAATTCCCTGTTCTTCATTTCAACGGAAAAAAAAACAAAGCCTTCGTCTTTATATTATGCTACATTCGGACCACTGAAAAGGGGTCTACTGGGGGGGCATGGGGGTAGCTCACTCAATGCAGCATGGTACCAAAATTGTGGATGGAGATCCACATCACAAGTCCACTGTGTGCCATGTACACATGCCAATATGATTTGTCCAGGGCGGTCTCAACATATAGCCACAGCCAGTGGAACAATAACAGTCCAACCCACCAGCCAGCACTACCAGCACCGGCAGATCCGTAGTGAACATCCACATCTTATAGACAGTGTACAAGTATCTGCCTCAACACAGCAATTTCAGCTATCAAGTCATTGCTCCTAGTCATCGGAGGATATATGTATATATGTAATTACGTATCTGATTACACTCTTGGTACTCATTCGGATATTCTTCCATCCATCCACACTGCTCCCTCCAGGCATCGCACTGCATGGAATCCGTGTGCCCATTGCTCACTTCTCTCACTGCATAGAAGTTCACGCACGCTCACTCCGCTGCTGCAGCCCGCTCTATTCATAGTGCCTCGGAGTAAAACTCACCAAATGTGAACCAGACAGAGACTCTGTATTTTTCCACATTCCCTAGTTATACACGTTCTCCATTCTCCACATTTCATGGGTAATGCGGCGAAGCCCACAGAGTGAAGATGCACACTACTAATCGAACGACCCTGCATTGGGCCTCGGCGCACCAATCAACAAATGTGAAACAGACAAACTACGTGATGTGTATCTTTCCACATTCTTGAGGGAGACATTCTCCATTTTCCACATTTGACGAGTCATTCGGCGAGGTCCACAGATAAGAATGTGTCCCTGGCCAAGGAAAAAAGCTATGTTAGACTTCGGACCCTGTATATGAAATCATTAAAGTGTTCGAACAGGTGCAGCAAGGACGGCAGAAACCACAGGAACTGGAAGTGGTTAGTATTCACGGAGGGCACCACCAGAAATCATGCACCGTATTGATGTTGTTGTTGATGTTGTCGTACTCAATAAACACATTCATAAATTGCAATAATCGAAAGATCAAGGGCAGCTAATCGAGGACAAGAGCTCGAACTTCTCTCCCTTTTCTTCTTAAGGAAAACTCAAGCCACTAGGCTCACCGCAGCAAATCCTGGGTACTCCTTTGTCAACAACACACCCTACTTAGCTCCAACACACACACAAACACACACACACGCACACAAAGAGAGAAGAGACAGGGGTTGAGTTAACGTGACAGAGCAAGAGGAAAAGGATCTAGGAAGGTACCTCCGTCAGAAGCTCCCACGCCCATGAGATTGCTTCCTCCTTAAAATAATCTCCGAAGGACCAGTTGCCAAGCATCTCGAAGAACGAGTGGTGGTACGTGTCCTTCCCGACGTCATCTAGGTCATTGTGCTTCCCTCCAGCACGGATACACTTCTGCATGTCACAGGCTCTCTTCAGGTGAGCAAGGGGGCTCTTCGGGTCAACTGTCCCCAAGAAAATACACTTGAACTGATTCATACCTGAGAAAACAGACAAATGACAGCCAAGACACCAAAGAAAGACACCGTTGACAGTAAGGAGACCAGCGTTCATTCTCTCAATTAAGATTGAAATCGCAGCTCCTACGAAGATTGAAAGTGAAGCTCCTATAAAGATTGAAAGTGCAGCTGGTATACAGACTGAACGCGCAGCTCCTAATAAAGATTACAAGTGCAGCTCCTAATAAAGATTACAAGCGCAGCTCCTAATAAAGATTACAAGCGCAGATCCTAATAAAGATTGCAGCTCTTTCAGCTCCTAATAAAGATTGAAAGCGGAGCTCCAACAACACACAAAGCCAAGAGAACTCAGCCCATACAGCAAACAAGTATCTCCGTCAAAACCTATGAAGTACCAGGGAGCACGGAAACCTGCTTCACCCCCAGTTACGGCCTCAACGCCCAAATTAAGGCCTCAAAGCCTCACAGCCTCATAGCCCAATTTACGCTCTCACAATCCTCATAGTTCTAGTTATTACGGCCTCCTCAACTGGTTAGGCCCTCCCCAAACGGGTGGGGCAGTTTCGGACATTATAGGAGTAGGACCTGTTGACCCTCCGAATTAGGTATAGCTAATGTAGGTATTTGAATGATAGATGTCGATGGAATAAGGTGTTGATTCAATGTTGTTATCACGGTGTTCTGAGTATGCTGGACTGTGCTGAGGCGTGCTGATGTGGAATCCTGTGCCCGTGTCACTATTCGGAGATATTAGCGCTAAGTACTAATAATGGATGTGATATGTCGTGTTACAGTTGGTTCAAATTAGTAACCGTGGTTTGAAGATCGGGGGATGTGTCCCAGTATACTATGTAATAGGCAAGGTATGGTGGTGGTACGCTAAGTAATGGCGGTACATGTGATAACTGAGGTCGGTGTGTTCGAACAAGTAACCGTGTTTTGCCGTTTTTTGGGCTAAGTGTGGTACGGTGATCTTGAACCAGTGACCTCTGTGTGGTTCTTCTGAGTGGCGGTGGGTGCGGGTTCAAAGGTCCTGATACGGTACGGACTCGATACCGGTACCTTTTTGATGTGGCGAGTGTAAGTAAGTTCCCGGACGGAGTTTTTTCTTTTCTGAATGGCGAAGTATGGCATGTGGTTTCAGTAGGCTTTGAACTAGCGATGTGTGGGTTCTGTCTTTTTCTAGGTAGGCTCTGCTAGTGTTAGACTGTTAGTAGTTCCAGTATTAAAATTAATAGCTGTAGGTACTTTCCACTCTTTACATAGGATCAGTCAAGTCTATTCCTTACCGACAGACCCCTGATGAGTGCTGGCATTGGCGGCCAGCCGAAACCAGTCGGGTCGCTTCGCCAGCCGAATTCTTTCGGATGTTCCTCTTGATTTGCAACATCACGTTCGGGATTCTTGTGACTTGATCGTCCTCTCCCTCTCTCTCTCTCTCTCTCTCTCTCTCTCTCTCTCTCTCTCTCTCTCTCTCTCTCTCTCTCTCTTTCTGTTGTGTCTGAGTACAATGCATATGGTCGGTTCCTGAGCCTGACGTGATTGCTGCTATCCAAGTTTGGTGAAGTGTCATCGTATTTCGACAGCTTCCCTTCCCGGAGTAACCGTCGTAGAGGTGGTACTACGTTCTAGTGGCTTCGTGTGTTACTTGCTAGCACGGCATTATGGCACAGAACGCTGGTCAGCCGATGGCAAACCATCAATGCTATAAATGTGGACAACTGGGGCACCTCTCTCGTTTCTGCCCTCTTCCAGATCATCCTTTTACGTTCTCGTCCACTCCCGCTGCTGCTCCTACTAATCCGAGTACGGCTCTTGTCACTGTGCCGAGCACTCCAGCGGTCAACGTCCCTATGGCATGGGTTCTGGCGGGTATGGTGGTTATAGTTATGGATATGGCGTAGGATTAAGACCTCGTGTGGAGTCGCTGGAGGCAACGACTGCAGGTATTAAGGCTCATCAAGATAATAGATTGCGAAGGAAAGAATGAAGAAGGAAGAAGAACGTGTGAAGAAAGAGAAGGAAGAGGAACGGAGACTTCTAGAGAAGAAGGCACGAGAAGATTTTCAGGCCGAGATGAGGAGTGAGATCGGAAGCAAGTTAGATTCGGTTCGTGAACTGCTGGAGAGTAAGAAAGGGAATGAAGAAGATGAAGTTGTTAAGTTGCGCATCGAGATCGAAGGGTTACGGAACACGCTACGTGCTGGTCAAGGCGCATCTACCTCCGAGAGCACCTTTGACAAGTACAAACGGGAACTTGAAGAGGAGAAGGCGAGATCAGATCGACGACTCGCCGCCATGGAAGAAGAAATTGCGAGGTTCCGAACAGTTAATGAAGAAGTCAATGCCGCTGCTGACGTGTGGAAGAATGAAGCACTTCGGTCGGGGAACAGACGAGGCAGTGTAGTAGTCACTGCAACGCCAGCACCTGGAACCAGAACTCATGCTCGAACGGAGACGATGTTCTCGCCGGCGGTTGAGGATCTCAAGCTTAAAGAAAGGGTGGAACATCAAGAACGTGAAATCGAGCTCTTAAAGGAATGGCGATTACTAAACTGAACGGAAGGCGCCAGGCGGAGCAGGAGGTTGACCGCTTAAAAAAAAATGGTGCAGCTCCTCGTAGAACGTAAGACTCCTATGGCATCCAACTTGAAGGCGCGACTTGACAAGGCAGCCACTACCATGGAGAAAGGCAAGCAACAGTTGAGTCCGGCTGCACAGGCGGTGGAAGCCAATGATCGAGATTTGTTTTTGGCAGAGACTCGCAGGACGTTGAAACCGCTTAAGAAGGAGAAGATCGTTATGTGTGAAAGAAGGTGTGTCCTACTCCACGCTCGACAAGACCAAGGAAGAATTGGCTCAGAAACGGGCGGAAGTGGCCTTTGGACCTATTCAGGATGGCGCCGGCAGGAAAGGCGGGGTGGTCATCCGCGATGTGACGGATGGGGAAGACGGGGGCGGGGGTAACGATAGTACCGAGGTCAATGATGACTCGGCAACTTCGTAGCTTCGCTCCCGAACGCGTCGAGTTCTTGGAATCTTCTTAGATGTTGTGTTCACCTTCGTTCGTCGTCAAATGAATGGTTACGGTGTAGATCTCTTAATTCCTTGCTCTTTCCCCTCGCATTGATGTTGATTGATCTGGGGCAGATCCCATGGGGCGTTACGCTGGGAGGATGTCTTCGGCATGTAATTCTGAGTAAGTTTGACTATGAAACGGCCAAGCGACCGGTGGTATATGCATTGTTTTCGCCGTGGTGTAGGCACTTATACATAGGAAGCACGACTAGGGATTTGCACACGAGGTGGGGTGAACACGTTCATCGTTCTTGTACTCTGGAGAATGGAGGATGTAGGAACGAGTGTCTGTATCGATGGCTCCGTCGTGTGGGTGTTCATAAATATATTGCTGTACCTCTGTGCGTTACGACTGAGGAGGAGGTAAGATCCTGCGAGAAGTTTTTTATTCGGTTATTTTCCCCTTCATTGAATGTTAGAGATAAGGTTCGAAAATCTAAACGCTCACGACCGAGGTTACGAGAGAGGAGGAGGCGCGCCAAGAAACGATGTAGTATTGGGAAGGGGGAGGTTCGGGGTGGGAAGTCGTTTCTATCTTTCTTTCCTAGTTATGGTGGTCAAACCTACTGCTTTCAATCGATCTTGGATAAATGCAGGGACGTCTCTGTTCATAGAGTGGTGTTTGTATGTCGCGGTGGGGAGATCATTTCTGATAAATGGAAGCTCTTGAAACGGATGTACAGCGGATCGATCGTGTCATGGTGTCACGCTAACCTTTGAATCTGTTGTTCCCTTCCTTTGCAGATCATTGGCCCTCAAGCCTTCTCTTATCCCTCTACTCAGACATCCTCCATCACGCTTATCTCTTTGCACCTGGTCATTTGAATGTCTCGTTGTTTCATTCACGGCAGTACGTACGTTCAGTGAGAAGCGTTCCCGGGGAAGGCTCCGATGTATTTTATCCAAATGTACTGTGAAGAAATTCGATGTGCATGTGCGTGAGCGGTTGGTTGTGAAGTTAGTATACGATGATAGTATTCAGAAGAATCTGTGCACGGTTAATTCACGAGCTGAAGATACCTTTGGTATGGAGGGAAGTGCTAGCTCGACGTATGCGGATTGTGTGGCACAGGAACCGTACGGTCGAAGACTTTTTGCACAATTTTCAAAAATTTGCCAAGAATGGCGACGCTGAGTGTTGCTGTAAGTCAATTTCATGAATTCCCTTCGCTCGACGGCCACATGTCCTTCCGGATGTCTGAACTAGAAATCTTTCCACCTTGGATGCAGAATAGCAAGAACATCCTCAAACCCTCTCGACGAAACTCTTCGGCTATTCTCAACCGGGAAATTCTTGGCGCCTTCCGCTCTCACTCTTCTATTCCGCCTCTTGATTCCTGCTCTTCCGTTTTTGATGACCTCTTCTTGTTTCGGCGCCTCTAGTGGTGATTCGAAGACCGAGGGTACCCATAGTGAGGATGACATCGGACCATTTCGTGATAAGTTAGTTGGCATGGTGTGCTGCCCATTAGACCACAACATGGGCGATACCTACGTATGTTGCCCCTCGCTGTACCCGAAGGGGATGGCGAAGCTGTTCCTTGACAATCCTGCCTTTGATGCGTCCAAGGAAGATGAACGGCATGTGTTGGACCAAGTAGCAGAATGTTATAAGGGCAAGGGGTTGGAAACTGTGGGGAGATGGAAGAATGACTGTGAATTCGGACGAGCGTATTGTCTACCGAAGCACAAGGATATTAAACGATGGAGACCGATATGTCCTTCCTACCCAGAAGGATCTGCAGCTAGCGGGAAGATTATTTCTAAGGCTGTCAACTGTTTGCTATGGAACCTACCCCGACGATCTAACCTGAACCTGAGATGTGTTGATGATTTGGTATCGGAGTTGTCGAAGGTGAACAAAAGCGTGAGGAAGGATGAAGGGTTGTTGGGCGCGTCATTCTACGTTAAGGAGATGTTCTCCAACCTTCCCCACCCCTCTATCCTCCAGGCAGTCTCGTGGGTTATTGATTTCTGGAAGGATAAGGAGTTTACAGGTGTCGCAGTAAAGAGAAGGGGCAGAGAGTCGAAACACGTAAAAAAAGGGGGAAGAAGGTTGTGTTGTGATGGGATTTGGGATCATCATCTCTTTTGTGGAATTCGAGCTTAGCAATACGTTTGTTATGGCCTCCGGATGTGTTTTGCAACAACGAATGGGAATTCCCATGGGCAAATCTTCTAGCCCAGCCCTCGCCTGTCTCCTATGCGCCTTCAATGAGTTCGTCTTCCTTTCTTCGTTAGGATCGGATAAGCCCTTTTTTATGGTCTTCGACTTGCTGACGATGTTTCGGTGTTTGTCACGTATCAGAAGGGGGATAAGGTTTCGTTGATGAAAGCAAGGCAAATTCTTGAGGAATTCCATGCTAGCTATGACAGTAATCTATTTTTGGAGCAGACGAGTGTCAAGGACTGTTGGGATTACCTCGGTTGTGTAGTACAGATCTTCAACGGCAGCAACGAGGTGGTTAGTCTGCCGATTCACAAAAATCAGAGGGTGCCAGTTGATGAGAAGCTGATTTTTCAGAGCATACAAGATTATTGTTCGTTTTCAAACAAGCAACAGAAGATAGCAGTCGTAAGTTTCTTTTTGCACCGTGTGAGGCACTATGCTACCATTCCGGGCACTGAACTCCCTTTCCTGTTTTCCTTGAAGATGGGAGCTCTGAGCGAGCTTACCCTGATGATGTGTTTGATAATGCGTTGAGCAGTTTTTCTCGTAAATTTGGAGGGCTATGGAGTGAATGGCTACCTGTGCTCACCGGGTGGGGCAGTTTCGTACATTATAGGAGTAGGACATGTTGACCCTCCGAATTAGATATAGCTAATGTAGGCATTTGAATGATAGATGTCGATGGAATAAGGTGTTGATTCAATGTTGTTATCACAATGTTCTGAGTATGATGGACTGTGTTGAGACGTGCTGATGTGGAATCCTGTGCCCGTGTCACTATTCGGAGATATTAGCGCTAAGTACTAATAATGTATGTGATATGACGTGTTACAGTTGGTTCAAATAAGTAACCGTGGTTTGAAGATCGGGGGATGTGTCACGGTATGCTATGTAATACGCAAGGTATGGTGGTGGTACGCTAAGTAATGGAGGTACATGTGATAACTGAGGTCGGTGTGTTCGAACAAGTAACCGTGTTTTGCCGTTTATCGGGCTAAGTGTGATACCGTGATCTTGAACCAGTGACCTCTGTGTGGTTCTTCTGAGTGGCAGTGGGTGCGGGTTCAGAGGTCCTGATACGGCACGGACTCGATACTGGTACCTTTTTGAAGTGGCAAGTGTAAGTTCCCGGACGGAGTTTTCTTTTCTGAATGGCGAAGTATGGCATGTGGTTTCAGTAGGCTTTGAACTAGCGATGTGTGGGTTCTGTCTTCTAGTTTGACTTTTTCAGGTAGGCTCTGCTAGTGTTAGGCTGATGGTAGTTCCAGTATTAAAATTAATAGTTGTAGGTACTTTCCGCTCTTTAAATAGGATCAGTCAAGTCTATTCCTTACCGACAGACCCCTGATGAGTGCTGGCATTGGCGGCCAGCCGAAACCGGTCGGGTCGCTTCGCCAACCGAATTCTTTCGGATGTTCCTCATGATTCGCAACGTCGCGTTCGGGATTCTTTTGACTTGATCGTCGTCTCTCTCTCTCTCTCTCTCTCTCCCCCCCCCTCTCTTTGTGTTGTGTCTGAGTACAATGCATATGGTCGGTTCCTGAGTCTGACGTGATTGCTGCTATCTAAGTTTGGTGAAGTGTCGTCGTATTTCGACAGCCTCCCCAAGTAAAGGCGTCACAGCCTCAGTCCAATTTATTGTCCCGCAGTCCTCGTCGTTCCAGTTACAGCCCCCACGCCCAAGTTAAGCCCTCACAGCCCCTGCTGCTACAGCATCACCACACCAGCTATGCTATGATATCGCCGCATCGGTTACGGCCTCACCGCACAGCCCAGCTCTCTCCTCACCGCACAGCCCAGCTCTGTCCTCACCGCCCCGCCTAAATTATGGCTTCACGTCACGGCCCCGCCCCAGTTGTGGCCTCGCCGCCCGCCCCAGTTATGGCATCACCGTCCCAGTCCCAGCTATGGCCTCACAGTCCCGGTTATGGCCTCAGTCTCAGCTATGGCCTCACAGTCTCAGCTATGGCAACAAAATCCCAGTTGTCCCCCCACAGTCCCAGCTGTCCCTCGCACTCCCAGTTGTCGGCTCACAATCCCAGTCAAGCATGCGCTGTTGATCGTTCTCCGTGCAGCTTTTCCCCGTGTATGACTGCAACGAAGGGATTCACCCCTCGCCGGTCATTTTGGTAGAGGGACAAAGGATTGACGTGTATAGCCATAGGGAAGCTTTACCTCTACTTAATTCAAAAATGCGACGACTGGACTCTCGGCTTAGGCGAACGGTGTAAGGCCGGTCAGTTGCATGGCGAACGGTGTAAGGCCGGTCAGTTGCATGACGGCAAATATCCGGACCTGGTGCCAGGTAGCCTAAGCAGAAACTATCGAGCACAATTTTAGTAATTGAATCCGCGACAAGTTTCTACCAAAGCAGCTGTTTTGAAAGTGAGACACCTACAAACC